CGCCTCATTTATCGACGAGCTCAGGCCGCGACACGTCGGGTTCTGCGGTGCCGGTACTTGATCGAATATTTGCGACTCACGCCTTCAGAAAAGAAAGGAAGGGGTGGGCCTGCTAGCAATCCTAGGCCGTGTCGAAATGAGGCCGAGCCTAGGGCACGCCTCACTCTGGTACCATGCTTTGTGGCCATGTCAACTTGTGTCAAGGCTGGTCGAGTCGTGCCTTGTGGCCCCCCCCCCATCCCCGGTTCGCTATCCGCCCTCGTCTGTAGACTCTCCCGCGTTAAATAGCCCGCCGACGTCAATGGGTTGTCCGTCCTTGTCAAGCGTGGCAGGAAAAGCTCCTGTGCACAGTAATAGGCTTAACTCGGAAAAGCCCCGACCGGCGCATGTCTGGCCCGGGCCACAAACCACCAGCCTTCAAGCCTCCCTCTCCCGCTAACAAGTCGTGAGTGGAGGATCATGGACTCTGCTAGGCAGTTTACGGGAAGGGGCGGGCCATGGGAGCATGTGGCCATGAGCCTTTGGGGGGTGGGATGGGAGGAGAGACCGCCAACCAGGACCAAAATGGGGGGTGATAGACAAGAGGCCTGGGGGGTGTTGTGGCGGACCATCCAGGACGGGGGTTGGAGGAGGGTTGCGACTTGCAGCCAGCCGGGACCCAGGCGCAAGGGGGAAGAGCCAGGGGAAAGGTTATCGCTGGCTAGCACGTTGGCCTCTATGTCAACCGTCTGACCAAAGAATTTGCTCTCCATCTCATGGTGCGGAGGAGAGGCAAAAGTCGAGCAAACGTGTACATGGATAACCAGGTGCCTACCTATCTTACGTAGGTGCCTTACTCGGCTGGACATGAGATCAACAGGAGGCGTATCCCAGGACCCCGGGAATACTGGTCAGGTCAGCTAGCAGGTAGGCAAGCCCGAGGCCCAGGCTGGGCAGGCAGGCTGGTAGAGTCGTTGCTTCTTGCCCTCGATGCGTGACGGCGGATAGATGAGGAAAGCGTGTCCCATCCACAATTGCACTAGCACAAGGGACGAGCGCCGGGTGGACATGGGGACAAGGACACGAGCATGGGAAGGGTCAAGGATGTGCCATGGGTGGGCACGCAGCTGCAGCTCCCACGCACGTTCTCTCCCACACCTCCATTCCCGTTTCCTGAACTGCCCTCGTTCTCGCCTTCCGCCTCTGGCTTGCGCTTGCTTTGTACTTGCGCCTTGTACCGCGCTTCGTACCTGTACCCGACTTTTGTACTTGTACTCCAACATGTACCCTCTCCAACCCACCTGCTTTCCTCTGGACCCTCCTGCCATTCAGTGTCCTTATCCCGTCTTATCCCCCCCCTCTGTTCCTCACTCTCCCCAGCTTCTCCCATTGCTTGAAACAGGTCTGTGTGCACCGTACCCGTCCCGTCTTAGCCACCGCTCGAGTCCAGCGTCCACTCCTTCTACCGCTCGTCTCGTCTCCCTCCATCCTTCCCTTCACACCTACACCAACCCACTGCTCTAGACGCCAACAAGTATCGAGCATAGGAATTCTTCCTGCCCCTACTCTCCTTCAAGGCGACGCCAGACACGATCTGCGATAGTTCTTCCACCCTTTGAATTGGCTTACCACTGGGATCCCTTGGCCCAGACGAAACTGCGTCGCAAGCCCCATACATACATATTCAACCGCCCTTGTATTCCCACAAAACAGACACAGCCGAGTCGCACGCTATTTGCACCCAGCCTTCCAACGCGTCAGTGTCAGGTCTCCCGAGACCTCGGATCTACTCGATTCGCTTCCCTTCAGCAACCTGTCTACCTGTCTTATTCATCGACCGCCAAGACGGGTGTAGGTCGCAAGGATTCTTATTGATTTCGAGCCACCAACTGTGCACCATCTTGTTTTCTTGCCTACATGCACGAGTACAAGACCGTCACCATGGACTCGAGGCCGGCATCCCATCAAGTCACTACCGTCGCAGCAGTCTTGAACCCGAACCCGGACGGAAATCGTGATTCCGCTTACTTTTCCGGTGCAGATGCCTCCAGCAAGCGTATGCAAGAGAATGCTCAGCGAGTGGTTCATCTCGAGCACATGGCTGACAAAATCTCGCAGACAATTCGGCCGCCTCCAACATGACCATCTCGGTCTTCAGCCCAACCAACTCCAGCTACCCCTCTTCTTCGGCCGATAAGACGCCTTCGCCAGTCGCCACAGGCGCCATGCCCCAGACTCTAGTCTCTCCTACCCAAAGCAACATGAGCGTCGCGTCCATGGTATCCCCAACCACACCCGGCAGTGCAAACCCCCGACGGGCCGATCGACCTACCTCCCCTCGAGAACGGCCAAACCGAATGGATGCTCGATCCAGTTATGCAGGCCGCGGGGCCGTCGTGAAAGTGTCGACAGCAGGATGAACCAAGGGTTCAGCGACATGAGGCTCGGCGCTTCTTCTCCCCTACGCGACTCACAATCAATCGACTTCGTCCATTCAAAATACCCTCAACCAGCAGCGAAACCCGCGACCAGGTCTGGAAAATGTTGCTATTCACCGCATTTCCAATGGATACCAGCCGAGTGCGGAGAGGGAGCCTCTAGCCAAGCTGGGCAAGACTGCTCCCGCGATCACAGGACCTGCGACAAGTCAGATTGCGCGAGCCGCTGAGCCTACGAAGGGCCAAGCCTGGGCCTTCCCTGACGGCGACGAGAGGGAGGAGGCGGCACGGTACGGTCAGCCGTCGCACAACACATCTTTCCTGGACTCTCGGCGCAGCAGTGTCACCGAGTCGATTGCGAGCAGTCAGTTCACCACGGAGTCCAGGTTGCCGCCTGGGCAGCGAAGACTGGACGAAAACGCCGAGTACAACCCCATGGCTCATGCCTCAACAGACTTCCCACCAGTGCATCACCACTCTCTGCAGCACAAACAGCTGGGGGACCTCCAGGACGAGGATGCGGAATCGAGAGCTGGTGCTCAACCATACAGCCGTACTCCTGAACTTCGCAAGAGTCACAAGCTGGCTGAGCGGAAGCGAAGAACAGAGATGAAGGAGCTGTTCGACCAACTTCGCGACTTGATGCCCCAGGAGCGAGGGTCTAAGGCCTCCAAGTGGGAGATTTTGACTAAGGGTATGCACCCTTTTTTTTCACGAGGCGGGCTAGAATTTGTAGCAGTGCTAACGATACGTAGCCATCACGGAGCACCAGCGAATGGCGGATGCCGTCCGTGTGATGCAGAATCAAAACGCCTCTATTGCGTCAGAGAATGATCAGCTGCGCCGGGAGAACCACGCGCTTATGCTTCAGCTGCGAGGCCAGCCTCCTCAACAGGCACCCCCCCCTCCACCTGCGGCTAGCTACGCGTCAGATCCCTATGCCCACCGCCCGGAGCTGCCTCCTCTGCGCGCCCTCAATGGCGGCCCTCCCAGCGGGCCTGAGTCAATGACGGGTGTGCAATACGATGCTCCGCGTGCTAACGGATATCGACCTGCAGAGCGGTATTGATCGTACACAGGCCCAGCCTTCTCAGCAGCTGAAACATGGCCAGCCTGTGGTCAACTTGGTCTATCATTCTCTGCCGTCATTCCCGACGAATTGCGCGCGTTCTCGAAGATGAACGCGAAACGCGCCCATTCGACCTCACATCTAATCCATTGGGCAACATGGGTCACCTGGTCATCGGACTAGCTTCGACCACTTACCTCGACGTCGCAGCACCCATCTGCGTGTTCAATTATTCTTTTTGTTTGTTTTCATCAATGCCCCTCGATTGAGGAGGTCTTGCAGTCGTTCGCCGAGACGACTTGAACAACGCAACGCGGATTCGGAGCATCGGAATCTCTATTTCTTTTGTATGTGTCAGTAAGGGCTTAATGCACCTGGGGTGGGCCTCCGGAGTGAGATTGGGGACCAAAGAGGGTGCGGCAAACTCATTCCTCGGAATCCCCAGCCGTTGCAAGGCCAAAAGCTGGGATGTTGGATTTCGTCCTTTTTTTTTCTGCTCTTATGCTCTTCTTTTGCTTTCGCGAAAACTGGGTAGAAGGCACAAACGTGAACGGCCATGTAGGCCCTTACACGTTGAGTGAGGGAACTGATTGGGGAAGGGACAAGGAAGACGGCGGTATATACCCATGTGGCGATCTCAGGGAGTCGCCTTGATGGCTGAAGCGTGTTCGCCCTGCGGCGTATCAAACGTTTCCAGGGCAGCTATCATGGTTTCAAAGGTCACGGATGAGAAGAGGAGACTGGTGCGATTCGTAGAATACCTTGCAAAAGTGAAGGGCCAGCGCGCTGGAGGTGGGGGAGAAACACTGGAGTGGCCCTAAGTCGTTCTGCCTTTGCTACGATAATCGTATGGTGCTATTCATCTATCTCTTGCCCATGGCCGTGAACAAGAATTTGATGTGAGTTGAAGAGACAGATGTGGTCGTCAAGTGGACAGGGAAGCGGATGTTCCCAGCATCCGGTATGCATGTGACGTGAGTGCATATGCATCTGACCGCGACTTGCTCTTATCGATAGCGCCAGTCCCATCTCAGTCTAAAATTTCGTGGCTCCTATCCGAGCTCTGAGATACGGGCTATTCGATCCTGACATCCCCAGAGACGACGCTCTTCCCTTCTCCTTTACCACAACACGTTCATCGCAATGTAAGTTTGTTCTTCTTCGATCGACATCCAATGGCACAGTGTGACTCATATTGCCCCTTTCACAGGCATTCTTTTCCGTCACGCCGCTTTTCCCGCTGCCGCATCGGTGGCTCGCGCCCCCAGCGCACGAAGCGCACCCCTCGCCTCCCGTCTCGCTGCCGTCCGCGCCTTCTCGGCTGCTGCTCCCCGCTCCCTCTTCCAGACCTCTGCGCTCCGCGAGGAGGAGTCCACGCCCGTGAACGCCGCCGCCGCCGCCGCCGAGGCCGCCCCGACGCCCAGGAAGTACGGCCCTGATGTCCTGCTGGGCGAGGACGGGCGCCCGACGCAGGAGCAGAGGAAGATCTGGGACGACGAGAAGCGGCGCACGCTGTTTGTGCAGAACTTTGTCAGCGAGGTGACGGACGAGGACCTGAAGGAGGCCTTTCCAAGTACGGTGAGGTGCCCAAGGTTCCCAGGCAGAAGCCCGGTGTCAAGTGAGCATGCCCCCCCTCCCCCCCCCCCCCCTCCCTGTCTCCTCTCGTTTGCGATCTGGGGCTGTCACCGCCCCATGATGGCGACTGACATGGACCCCGCTGCAGCTTCGCCTTTATCGAGTTCAAGGACGCCGAGGCCGTGCAGGTCGCGGCCGACAACGTCAACGGCACCTTCTGGCACGGACGCCGCATGGTGGCCGAGCCCCGGCGCGTGCCGGAGCTGACCAACACGCGCGCGCGCTACGAGGGCCCGCCGACCCTGACCGTCTTCGTCGGCAACATCTCGTACGAGGCCACGGACAAGGACCTCAACGGCGTGTTCGGCGCGCTCGAGGACGTCAGGAGCATCCGCATCGCGACGGACCGCAACACGGGCTGGCCGATTGGCTACGCGCACGCCGACTTCCACACGGTCGAGGCCGCCACCAAGGCCATCGACATGCTCAAGACGCAGAAGATTGGCGGACGGCCGCTGCGCGTCAGCTTTGCTTCGCAGACGCAGGACGCCAACAGCCGCAGGCGCCCGAGGGAGGGCGGCGACAGGGGCCAGAGGCGGTCGCGCGAGCCCAGGGAGCCCAGGGAGCCCAGGGAGCCCAGGGGAGCCCGCGAGTAGGGTGCCCGAGCGGCGGGTCGTGGTCTGGCGAGCTTGCCGGTCTCCGCGGCCGTTGACGCGCTGGCTGGGCGCCGGTGACGGGGTGTCGACTGTGTACTTTATCTTGCCGTCGTGTGTCTGATGGCTGTATGATAGCGTGGGTGTGGGTGCGGACGGGCCAGGCTGGGCCAGTCCGCTTGTACGTGTACAAGACTGCTGATCATCACTCATCTTCATGGCCGTGGCCTGACGAACCAGATGCAGATGCCGTGAACGCTGCTGCCGGTGACAGCACCCGAGCGCCACTGCCACGGCGGTCTCCTCACAAGGCCACCGCCCGGTTGCCGCTGATCAAAGGCATGGGGTTTCGTGATCGGATGGTCGTCGGCAGATGGGCCGTTTCAAGCCTTGGACGATCCCCTTTTGGGGTCCTGAGGAACAAGGGGAATGAAGCTTTGCCGGCTGTCTGAGGTTTGAACCCCTGCGCGGGCCGAGAAAACCCTCGAAGCATATCTATCCGTTGAACCATACGCTTCGACATGAAGGTTGGCACGGTGGGCAGGGTTGCCATGAAACGGCAGTCCAGGCGGCAGTGCGAAGGGTGACGGGCCGGCACGCGCTACATGGTATTCTATGGAAAGGTCCGAGGTCGTCATGTCGTGCGCCTGGGTCCGCCTGAAATATAGGGGACGGCGTCTTGGGCAGCTTCCTTGGGCCTTTAGATTGTGTCTGATGAAATTGACGCAAATTGGATCTCAGTACGATGGGACCGCTCTTGCTCAGGGCAGGTTGAGAGTACATGTCGCCGAGGCGTCTTCAGTTGGCACCTGTTGGAGGCACCTGTAGAAAAGATATACAGTGAGGTCCAGTAGACCTTTAGTGGTTGACCTTCGCGGCTGACCTTCGCGGCTGACCTTCGCGGCTGACCGTAGCGGTTAACCGTAGCAGTTGACCTTAGCGGCTGTGGTTCTGTGGTCCTGTCCTTAGTCAGCACCCTGCGCTGATCGGCCTAGCGCCAGGCGTGTGTGGAAAACCTGGAGCCGGCCCGGGCGAGCCTCGGTCCAGGCGGCGTTGGGTGGACTGAACCGCTGCGGAGGATGCGTGACTGACTGACAAACCACCAAAGCCGTAACCAGAGACATCCTCCTCCTCCTCCTCCTGCTTCCCACTTTCCTAGACCGTCGAACGACAATTCGTCAAAATTCAAACACCAACTCCAAGCCGTCGAACACCAGGCCACATCTACACCAGCTTTGATCCACCGCCCAACTACGTCCCAGTCCTCCAAGGGCCCCGACACCCCGCCTCCCGATCTCGATCCTCCCCTTCACCATGTCCTTCCTTGGCGGGGCAGAATGCTCGACCGCGGGCAACCCGCTCAGCCAGTTCCAGAAGCACGTCCAAGGCGACAAGCAATTACAAGGAGACCGTCTGGCGCAGAGAGGACCCAACGCACTCGCCGGAGGCTTCCGCAGCGGTGGCGGCAGCGCCCAGCAGGATGAGGTATGCCGTCCCCCCCCCTTCGGACTTGGGCCTCCAGCTCGATGTCAAAGGTGACGAAACCGCCACTGACCAGCGCTCTACCAGATGATGAACGGCTTCCTGAACAAGAACCCCAACCTCCAGCAAGAGATCCCCATGCCCAATGGCTCCATCCACATTGACCCCGCCCACGCCGTCCACCTCCGCGCCGCCTCGACATCCCCGACATGGACAAACGAGTTCCAGGCCCAGTCCTCCATGGAGGCCGCCTTCAACGTGCCCCAGGGCACCCGCTTCAGCCCCGAGGACTTTGCGCGCTTCCGCCAGATGAACCACCAGCCCTCGTCGGCGCGGTCGAGCCCCATGCCCGCCCAGCAGAGCATGAACCCGCCGTCGGCCCTGAATTACCCCTACTCGGGCGGCATGATGATGGGCGCGCCCATGTACCAGCAGTCCATGTACCAACAACCGATGCAGCACCAGCAGCCCATGCCCCAGCAGGACGCCAAGGGCAAGGGCAAGCTCGTCGAGCTCGACGACAACAAGTGGGAGGAGCAGTTTGCCCAGATGGAGCTGCAGCACAAGGAGGACGAGGAGGCCAAGGCCGCCGAGCCGGAGCTCGAGGAGATGGACAGGGCGATGCAGTCCGAGACGAACGAGTTTGGCGACTTTGAGTCGATATGGAAGGGCATCCAGTCCGAGACGGCGGCGGCGCGCTCCATGGTCGACGGCGACACGACGTTCGACAAGTTTGACAGCGAGGACTGGGTGCCGCCGGACTTCCAGGGCCTCGGCGGCGACTACTGGGGCGGCCGGCTCGGCGACCCCGTCGTCGAGCCCTATCTGTTCGAGGAGGACAACATCTTCATCGACGAGAAGAACGCGTTCGACGAGGGCGTGCGCATCATGCGCGAGGGCGGCAACCTGTCGCTGGCGGCCCTCGCCTTCGAGGCCGCGACGCAGCAGGACCCGAGCCACGTGCAGGCGTGGGTCTATCTCGGCCAGGCGCAGGCGCAGAACGAAAAGGAGACGGCGGCGCTGCG